AAAGAGTAAATATCACATCGAGTTTATTGCTATATTTACACTCAAAATACATCTAGCTAATAAGTGGCTTGAGTTTACATTCAAGTGATTTGGCCAGTCGGCTCCACAAAAGAGGAATCACAACTAGATCTAATGATTCACTAAATTTTTATCAAATGATATTATTAAATTATGGACACTGTTGTTGCCAATATGTTCCCTCATGGCTTCTCTATTGTTTGAGTTAAGAATCATATAATTACATTTCATAGACATAAAGCTCTTTTTGATAAACATCGTGGTGATAAATCTTATAACTTAAAATGCTAAATTTGTTGCTACTATATGCTAAGTGTTAAGCGCTCTAACTATTGGCTTTAATCAAAAGTGCTCTCGTTATTGGGTGGTGTAATTAATGATATGTGCCAATGCAAGAAATGAGCCTATTTTTTACGGCCCCAAACCATCGGATACTATCTAAAAGTTGCCGGTTAATAAATTTTTGACGGGTTAACTGCATATTTGGGGATGTTACTAAAAAGCTTGTCGGTAATTCTTTGACTAATTGAATTACCTATGATTTATATGTGTCGATGGTTTCTTGATACCATAAAACCATTGCAATAGGCTTCGATTTAGTATTGTTGGTAAGCCTTCAGTGTCGCCGATAATATGATTGACGATTTGTCCGTTGGACTAGTGTAGCACAACAGTCAAAAAAATGTACTACATCATCGAAAAACTATAGCACTACCGCCATCAGTAATGATATATGATCTATGCCGTCAGAAAATTGGAGTAGAAATCAAACAATTCTCTAGTGTCGTCGGATTTTTTGCCCTTCATAAATGACTATCGGATATAATGATAGGTCATCGAGATATTGTCAGTTTGTCATTGCTTCTTTAAGTGAAGATTACAAGCTGTCAGAAATTACGATAATATGTTGAAAGGCCATTGGTAAGTCGTCGAAGAACTGTAACATTAAAAAAAAAAAATTAGTATGTTTCTTCAGCACTACAAGTTTCACCCCTACAATCGTAACACTACAATTTTTATACAGCATGGTTTACTAATCTAAGCAATTATTAAACTATTATCACAATAGTAATTAACACAAAAATCATAAATAGAAATAAAAGAAAATCATACATCAAACAAACCATAATGAACATTTACACATTAAAAAATAATGTTCGTTCGAAATAGTTGTTCTAAATAAAAAATAAGAAAAAAAGAAGTCCCTACTCATCATCCATCCTCTCATCATCTTCCTTATCAGAATCATTGTTTATAATTTACAATGAACCAAGGGAAAAAGACTTTCAGTGAGTCCTCACATGCCGTCACAAACATTTTTTACTAGATAGCCACGCCTTTTATAGTCGAGAAGTCGTTAGAATTTAGACTTCTTATAAACTGTTAAGAAACCATAAAAAATGAGTGATATTTAAGACGCACGTAAAGTCGTCGATTATTCCGCCAGTTATAGATGTTTTTCTTGTTAGTGGACTTGAGCCTAAGACAAACCTCAATCCCTAAATCTTAAAATCCTCACAAAATAGGGAAGAAATTTTTTATTATTTATTGTATTCTATAATATTTTATCGGCCTTCCAAAATTTGGATCAAAAATAACCCACACACACACACAAAGGGAGAGAGAGTGAGAGAGAGATTTGGGAGGAAAGAAGAGTGATGTTTAGGTTTTTGTTAAAGTTCAAATTTTTTTTACACGACCAAAAGCTTATTTAAAAATTTAGTATGAGCTAATGTGATCATATTGGTTTCATATGCATGATAATATGCCATTAAATAACATGTTCATTGATAAAGTTAACTCCACCAAACATTCAATAAAAGAACTATGTTTTTTTATGAAGAGATTAAGCATTATTGTTTCAATCATATTTCTTCCTCTTATAAGCATTTGTAAGTCATCATGTCAAACACACAGTGATAAATAGACAAAGGCATCATAGGTTGAGGATATGTGTTAAAAGAGGTATAACCTCAAGTATGATAAATGTCTCATAACATATACAATAAACATAACTCATGCATCATTTGCTAAAGTGTCGTGGCTCAATCTATAACTCATCATCTTTTATGCTAGAGGGGTTGGTAGGCAGGCAACAACAATTATTTTTGGAAAATATTAAGAACCCTTAAAATTTGCTTTAAATATTTCTAAACATAAATTAATTAATTTCAAGAACTAAAAAACATAAAAATATACTAAAGAATATGTATTTAAGAACGAGCAATTAAGAGACTCTTTGCACGACAAGAAACATTTATGATAAAATTTTTACATAAAAAAATCTATAATGCATCAAACTCAAGAAAAATTGAACAAGCAAAAAGTGTCACCAAATAAAACATATAGTTTATATGTTAAGACCTAAAGTATAATTGATTAGAGAAACAAAAAAAAGATTTTTGTTAATGAACATAAACTATATATATGCAAGCTTTCTTAGTGAGCATAATTTGGATGCTTGAATTGGGGTTTATGATGTTAAATGGTAAATATGAATATGTCACATTGCTACTAAAACTACCAATATATGGTGGTCCTAAGCAATGATACAACCCATGAAGTCTACTTTCTGAAATAGATTTTAATTTTTTCCTATAATTGCAAACATGCTAATTTACACATCTGGCCATAGTTGAATTTTAAATCATGCAAAATAAATATTGTCAAAGATTTTTTTTTTTTTAAATCACATTAAAAAAAAATTATAAATCACGCATTAGTTCATATCTTCATTTCTATCATTTTGGTCATGTGTTTTAACCTTTACTATTATGCTAGATTGTTATTTATTTATTTATTTATTTATTTAAATTCTTGTAGTATTGTTCATACTCACTTGTATCAGAGTATTTATACGCTTATATAACGCTCTCTGTAATTGGTGTATGCTTTTTTTAAATATATAATACATGATAATAGATTATTATCTTTTTAAAAAATATAAAGAAATAATAATTATATTATGGGAAAGTATTTTACTTTATGTTATCTTTTCAACAAACCAAATATGTTGTCTTACCTCTTTTACAAGTTATATGTTATTTTGGAGTTGAAAAATGTGGCAGTCAAAATGGTGTTTTATTGATTTGCTTATTCAACATTAAGTGAAAATGGAGCTATATTAGACTATATACTTTATTTCCAATTGTAATTATGATCTTTGACTAATAATTTTTTTCTTGACTAAAATAATATATTCTAAAGTAGGTTAACCTAATTTGGAAAGATTTTATGCTCTTCCATTTTAATTATAGAAGTCATAAAAAAATAAAAAAATCAAAACTTTAATTTTATTTTGTGATTTTATATAATTTTTCAAAAAAGAAAAAGTTGAGGAAAAATAAAAAAAGTCTATAAAAAATTTTATCTAATAATATTTTGTGATTTTATAATAAAGGAAATTATGTTAGAGCTTTAAAAAATGAGTTTTTATACAACTACGCTCACAACCAAATTTTAAATGAACGAACTTTTCGTGATTAAAATTTGGTTGAGTAAAATATGACACAATGATATAAGTAAAATGCAATTAGCTAGAAAAAATGATAAGAAAATCAAATTTCTCTCATGAAGCAAAAAAAATCATTTTTTAAGCTTAGGTAAGCTATTTTTTAAACATTCTCGTGTATAAATATGTATATTGAAATTTATTTTTTATGATGCATTTACATATCAACTACTCAAAACATTGAATATAACATTTTAACCGCTCAAACTTTAAATATAACATTTTAATCACTTTTTTCATTTCATCAACCCCTTTCACCCACTAGTGAAGGTTTTGAGTGAAAGTTTTAGGCATTTAAAATGTTATATTTAAAGTTTGGGTGATTTATATATTATATTGAGTGATTTGGATGGTTAGTATATAAGAGTCCATTTTTTCCTTATTTGAAGAAGTTTCTATAACAAATAAAAGGTTAAACATGAGATAAAAGAATATTAGAGAGTATCACCTTTAAAAGTATAATATTTTTCTATTTATTATATATTAAATGAGGCACAAGAATAATATTATAGAAAAATAAAAAAAACAAATTAAATTCTTAATTTGTTAAAAGCGATAATATAAAAAACTCATCTTTTTTTTTTCTAAGAAACAATTGTTGAGTAAAAAAGTAGAAGCTTGGATAGACAACCTCAATAATAGAAGCTAAGTTATAAACAATTAAGCTAAATTCATATTCAATTAAAGAGTGATTTTGAACAAAAGCAAAATCACATGATATTCCGACCTTAAAATTTAACAAGATAAATAATATGAAGGAAAATCAATATATATATATATATATATATATAAAT